CTGAGTTTTGATGATTTTTCCCAAAATTGGCCACGAGGCGCAGCAAGTTGCGGGACTAGGTGACTTGCACCATAGTAAAATCATTTATTTTAAAAGTAAATATAATAAATAAATAGATATTAAAATTTTTCTTTACCTATATACATAATAATGATTAGAATAATAAACAAGCAACAATGATTAAATTAAAAGGTGTTTTATCACTAACTTTATTCATTTAATTATTTATCATAGTGATGTCATTAAATATAAGTTAAAATAAAAGAGAAATTATATACATAAATAAATATAAACATAACTATTGAATAATTGATAAATGTTTATTAGTATATTCTGTTCATAGATCTTGTCCTTGATGCTTACTTTGATCAATCTTATACAAACTATTGAATAATTGATAAAACGTTTGTTAGTATGTTTTGTTCAATAGATCTTGACCTTAATGTTTACTTAGATTACTCCTACACAAACTATTGAATAATTGATAAACATTCATTAGTATGTTTTGTTCATAAATCTTGTCCTTAACGTTTACATCGATCATTCCTATACAAATTGAATCTTAATCTTTATTGTCATCCTCAAAAAAGATGATTCGTTGTCGTCGTTTGCTATTTGTTGCTACTAATATTATTGTTTAATGTTGCTATAACAACTACTGATTGATGGATATTCATAATAATCATTAATGAAACTTTAATCAATATAAAGTCAGAAATATAAAACAATCACTAATAAAATACCTTTTAGTTTTTGCTGAATCCCATCTACAAAAATTCTTCAAGACTATTAAATTTCTATAAAATAGTTTTTTGTGAACCTCTCTAAAACTTATTAACCAATACCCCCATAAAGTGATGGCCATATGAAAGCTTAAAGCATTCTGCACCTTCTCATTTACTATCAAGTCTTTTAAAGCGATGTTGAGAAATAATATGAGCTATGAAGTGAAAAAGTAATACCATTTTTGAATAGTCGTGAATTTACGTAGAGAAGACCTTTCAGTATGAAAAGGTATTCATTGGAAAGCTTTAATGGAGTATTTTCATTTTACTCAAACAACAAAGTTCGAGTTTATTATAAAACTAACAAAAATATCACATATCACACAACATAGTCGAATTCATTTGGAAGCTTTATCATTTACTTTATTAAATAATAAAAAATTTTAATGAATCATTTTGTAAATAGGATTTAAAAATAAAACTTTGTTCAATATAAATCATTTAGAAAATTTTTTTTATTCCACTAGAAATCCTCAAGGTATCAATTCAATATGCTTCTCTATGATTTTTATCATGAAAATTAATTGAGTGGTCATATCAATAGAATACCAAGTACCTAATTCTCATTATGCACAATCACTCTATCTTCCGAATGAAAGCATGGGAAGGGCATAAGTCATGGCCAAATTCAACAATCCTAAATTGTAAGTGAGTCCATTATATGAAGGTTTCCCAACTTTCAATAATTTGAAGAATAATCAATGAACTTTATGAATTTCCTGAATGTTTCATATTTAAATATTTATTAAGGAGAATTCTTTTATTTGCCTTACAACAACAATATTTATAATCAATCATTAATCATGCTTTTTTATTTCCTGTTAACCCTACTCATAATTCTTATCAGTGAACTATCGTTCATGCCACATAATGAAAAACATGGAATTTGCAAATTTTAAAAATGCGAGGAAAATTTTAGGTTCTTACAAAGGTTAAGAGATATCTCCAAGCAGCTTAAAATTGCACAAACGCGGTCTAAACACCATTTCACATTGATACATTTTTAACATCGCCTGAATTCTTGTCAATAAATATAATTCAAAAAAAAATATGCTGGGGAGTTGAGGTTTTATCTGATACACTTCACAGAAATTGTATATAATTGGAAATTAATAAATCGGAAAAACATCCACCAATAAAATGAAACAACGAAGTAAATATTCTAACATTCTAAAATGCAACAGACATTTAATTCTCGGATTAAATTTTAAACGAAGGAATTTAAATTACTTTTTCATAACTTAAGATAATTCTACGTGGAAGGTCCAAACAATAGAACAAATTAGGATTTCAAAGAAATCGGAGAATTGGATGATAGATGTATAAATAACGTTGTAATTTTCTTAACTTCATGCATCATCCTAATCAATTATCTTAATAAATAACAAACTATCCTTATCCTTGTACTTGTACTTGTACTTGTTTTTGTCTTCGAATATTATATTTTCGTAATGATAATAAATCTAACAATGAACTCATACTAATCCTGTGCATAATTATTTTTTCTTATTTTATACTTGTCTATTTTTTTTTTTTTTATTATTTCTTTTCTTTTCTTTTAATGAGGTAATATTTAATAAATTTGATTTAGTTGGTTTGGGAAACGTACCTGACTTGAGTAGGGAGTAACAGCTAAGAAGGGTACTCACCAAGGAACGTGATCAGGATATAGTGTGAAATCTAAAGATATTGTTCAGTTATTGAATTGTTTAACGATAGTGAAAGATAGTAAAGCATAAATATACATTCGCGAAAATTGTTGTTACGATTTAGTATAAATAAATCGGAAGAAATTGTATTAAGACTCTATGGTATTGACGTTATCTAGATGATCAAAGTAGTGACTGTGATTTTTTTTCTTGCGTATTATACTGTACATACAATTATGAAGTTTATTTGGATAATATTATTTAAATAAATTTCTTTAATGGAGTGAAGTTACTATTTGATTTTCTCGCTTCTAGTAAAAGTAAATGGGCATTGAAGTTATCTAAATGGCCAATGTTATCTTTTTTGTCGATTGAAAACGTGATTTTAGATATGCACTTGCTTTGATATTTTGTTATTTGTTTGGATGTTTAATGTCATTGCATCAATACCTGGTCTTGGCCAACAACAAACTGGATCTGGAATTCATTTGGCTGTTTGGAGCTTACAACAGCTACAATATTAACGATAATTGGTATATGCGGTAAAATGTGTTGTCGTGATATTATTAAAAAACTTGATGAAGAAAATGAAAAAGATCTATAATGTAAATTAAAAAAATTATTATATTATTTATATTATTTATTAAAAATAAATAAATTTGTTTTTACAACGACTTGAATTTTTAATCAAAATTTTTATTATAAAAATTAAACTCTAATATATATATATATTTATTTAACATGCTGTAGATAAGAAGATTAAACATTTGAAGAAAATAAATCAACATATTGATAAATAGATTATATAAAGTCCGTCATTATCATGTTTTTTTTTCTTTTTATGAACTTTAAATCATGATGACTTTTTATAATTTAATCTACTTCTTCCATAGAAGTTTCAACCGAAGCTTCATCAATAGGATTAATTGTTTCTTCAACTTCCATAGCCTCTGCATCATCACCAATATCAAGACCAAGTTTAATCATTTTGAAGATTCTACCAGCAAATGATGATGGTTCATCCAAACTAAACCCTGATTGTAAAAGTGAAGTTTCAAACAACAGCCATGTAAGATCTTTAACTGTCTTGTCATTCTTGTCAATTTCTACTTTTGCCTTGAGTGATTTAACAATTGGATGGTTTGGATTGATTTCCATAATTTTCTTTGATGCCATGTAAGATGACATGCTTGAATCACGAAGAGCTTGTGCTTTCATAATACGCTCAAAGTTAGCAGACCAACCATACTGTCCAGTCACAAGCACACAAGGTGATTCTGAAATACGATTTGACACAAGCACCTATTATTTTATATAAAATAGTTTTTATTAATATTAAAAAAACATCCATGTTTATTAGTAAACAAATAATAAATAAATTATTATTACCTTTTCAACTTTGTCACCAAGTATATCTTTAATTAATTTACATAACTCCTCATATTGTTTAACTACTTCTTCATGTTTTTTCTTTTCATCTTCATCTTCATCAAGCTCTAATCCTTCTTTTGTGATGCAAATAAGTTTTTTATCATTATACTCTTTAAGTTGTGAGACAGTATATTCATCAATTGGGTCAGTCATAAGCAACACTTCATATCCCCTCTTCTTGAGAACTTCAACAAATGGTGAATTTTCTACAGCTTGGCGATTTTCACCAGTAATATAGTATATTGATTTTTGTTTTTCAGGCATTCTTGTAACATAATCCTTTAATGATGTCATTTCTTCACTAGATTTTGTAGAGTAGTAACGAAGGAATTCTGCTAATTTAGCACGGTTTTGTGCATCCTCATGAACACCAAGTTTAAGGTTTTTAGCAAATGCTTCATAAAATTTGGCAAAGTTTTCCTTATCTTCAGCAATTTCACCAAACAATTCAATACACTTTTTGACAATATTTTTTTTAATGACCTTTAGAATTTTATTCTGTTGAAGTGTTTCACGAGAAATGTTAAGAGGCAAATCTTCAGAATCCACAATACCCTTTACAAAACTAAGATATTCTGGTATTAAGTCTTCACAGTCATCCATAATGAATACACGTCTAACATAAAGTTTGATATTGTTACGTTTCTTTTTGGTTTCAAACAAATCAAAAGGTGCACGTCTTGGTATGAAAAGAATTGCACGGAATTCAAGCTGTCCTTCAACTGAGAAATGTTTGACAGCCAAATGGTCCTCCCAGTCATTGCTGAGTGATTTGTAGAAAGAAGCATATTCTTCATTGGTAATGTCTTCAGGATTGCGAGTCCAGATTGGTTTGGTTTTGTTAAGCTCTTCAGTTTCTTTAGTCACCTCTTTAATTTTCTTTTTTTTCTTTTCTTTTTCTTTTTCTTTATCTTCATCCTCTACTTCTTCAATCTTAGTCTCCTTCTTTTCTTCATCTTCTACCACTTCCATTTCCCCTTTATCTGTTGCATCTTCATCATCAACTTCTTTCTCAACTTCTTTTTCAACAATGAGTTGAATTGGATAACCAATAAATTCAGAATGTTTCTTTACAATTTCTTTTATTTTTTTTTCCTCAAGATATTCAAGTTGATCTTCTTTAAGGAAGAGTCTGATTTCAGAACCACGTTCAAGAGGTGGATTGACTGTATCAAGTGCAATGGTGAAGGAACCACCAGCAGCAGATTCCCAAATGTATTGTTCATCATCATTGTGCTTTGTGATTACTTGAACTCGGTCAGCAACCAAGTAAGCAGAGTAGAAACCCACACCAAATTGACCAATCATAGATATATCAGCTCCAGATTGAAGAGCTTCCATGAATGATTTGGTGCCAGATCTAGCAATCGTACCAAGATTATTTACAAGGTCAGCCTAAAATAATGATGATGGGTATTTGAAATTAATGAGAAAAAAATAATTAATTAATTTTACACATATTCATAAAATGTCTCACAATATAATTTGATTGATGTAGGATCAAAAAAATAAAAAAAAATATGTACCTTTGTCATACCAATACCAGTATCTCTAATAGAAAGCACTTTGTTTTCTTTATCAGGAGTTATCCTTATGTAAAGTTCACTTCCACTTTCAAGTTTTGAAGGATCAGTGAGGGATTCATATCGAATTTTATCCAAAGCATCAGATGAATTGGAAATCAATTCACGAAGGAAAATCCTATTTTATTAGTTGGGTTGTGCAGCAAAAATATAAATATCAATACAAATTAATTTAAGTTTCTCCACATATATGTACATGTATACATAATATATATATATATATATATATGTATATATATATTTATAAAAAAAAATTTTTCCATATATAAAAAATTTTTTTTTTTTATTTTTTTAATAACCAAATAAAAATTTTTTTTACTCACTCTTTATTTGAATAAAAAGTATTGATAATAATAGACATAAGCTGAGAGATTTCAGCTTGAAATGCAAATTGTTCAACTTCACCCATTTTTATTTTTATTTACAAAGTAGTAGTGAAAAAATTTTTTTTTTATTTTTTCTTCTTCATTTCTTCATTTATATATTTTAGATTTTGATATGTTAAGTAAATCATCAACAATAAACAATACCTTTGGAAGATTCTAGCAAATTGTAGAGGAAATGACGGGTCACAGCCAAACTATTATAATCCGGCACCCAATGAAAAGTTACCGTAACATTTTCTGTAACATTTTCCATATATATTCCATGCATTTGGTATCTTTTTTCCATACTTATACTAATATACATATGCCACACGGAATACACGGAAAATAAATGGAAAAAACATACAGTTGGCGCTCGATATAAGGAAGAGTTTGTTTTGGCAAAAAACTTCACTATATAGTGTGATTCATTATATAAA